GTATCTGCATCTCTGTCAAGACTTGTCCTGATGCATCCATTTACTCCGCATAAGCTCACAAGTAGTGATCAGATAGGAGCAGCGTCCGGTCCTTACCTCTGCAAGAGGTATGTGAGCTGGGATTTCGAAGGTAGTAGACTGTGTATTGCTAAAACTCTCAACTGGCTTGTTCTGCAGGGAATAATTTTTCATAATGCATGTGTTCAGCCTGGAAAATTTGGAGTTCTTGATGTCACTGAGGCAGATGATCTGGATGGGGCATTTATGGCTTGCATAATTTTATAAGTATTAAAAAATTGTGTTGTGGACAAATATTTTGAAGTTTTTTTTATTTATATCCTCTTAGATACAAAACAACTAATGCTGTGAGCAGGTCTGGGGGAAACTGTAACTGCTGAATTAAAAGGACATAGGAAGATAGACTTACTGCCTTTCTCCTGTCCTAACTTTCTTGTGTTTGCTCTCTCATAATACAAGAAGACACTCCAGACACCACATTCTGGGGATTTCCTTTGTTGGGGTTGAAGCCTTTGGCCTCATTCTTTTCCTCACAGTTAGAGGGTTCATAAGCCCCTGGAAAGACAGTGTCTGTCATGTCTTGTTGCTTAAATATTGTGGTCAGCCTGTGAATAATCTCAAACTGCTTTGACATGTTCATAATAGCTTTTGTTCTACTTCTGTACCCATCCATTTCCATTCCTTAAAGTCCCCCAGCGTGGAGTGCTCCAGCTTGGACGCAGTGTGTGATGATTTGGCCAGAGATGTTACGAGAAAATCGGACTGTTACCTTTAATTTTTGTGGAACGTAACAATGACTTGGCATTGAAAATGACCCCTCTGTGGCACATGATATTACTGTTAGACGTTTTTCTCCCTGGCTTGCAGGTGTTTTTCTCCCTTTGGTGAAAGTTTCTGAGAAGCGGTCAGCTGAACCGGCTGTACCCTGCAGAGTGACGTGTTGATGTGGGGCTTCTTCAGCTGCGCTGTGTGCAGTGAAGGCTGCGTTAACACCAGATGCCAATCATACACCACCAGTGGATTTGCAAGATTATAGGACAGGAAAAAAGATGAAGGTTAAGCACAGGGCACAATAGAGATTACTTATGGTAATGAATTGTATAATTTTTCTAGACAGATCTGGATTAATGTTTATCCCAGGAAAGAGATTACTGTATGTCTGATTCTAGTTGTAAACAGACATTATTAAACAGAAGGTTTATGTTCATGAAATGCGACTATGGGTGTTAAAGCACTTATGATTTATTATGTGCAAAAAGAAAAATTAACCTGTTCATCTGCTGTAGTACAAGATGCGCTGTGGATTTTTGCATAATTTGGAAGGCATCTGCTCCCTTGGAATACAAATAACCAGTGAAATGAGAAGGATTCTCCTCTCATTTACACTGATCCAGTGCCCTACACTGCAGTTATGTTGAATGGTTTAACCAACAAAAGAATAGTCTTAATTGCTTTTACAAAGCAATAATATTTCTATGAGAGATAATGTTGGCAAAGTCTGTTTGCTTGTAAATTTTTAGGGTATTTTCTTACAACTGAAAAAAAAAAAAACAAGAAGAAAAGTAAATGTGCAGAGAGCTTAACAAATGACCTTATTTGTGTTTCCCAAATAATTCCCTGTCAGTAATTGAAAGCACAATGTTTGGAGACTTTAATTTTTTTTTTAAATATATATTTTTTCAATCTATTTTTTCACATAATTGATGTTGTAGACCATTTTTCTCCTGCTTTATTTCATCACTGCTGCTATGAGCGAGATATAGGTACAACATCCACATTTTTTAATACCACCTTACCTAAGGAGCTAAATAATCACACCTGAGTCAGTGTTCTGGGTGAGGTAAAAAAATCTCACCTTAAGGAAACTGCAAACTCCAAAACTTTGCTTATTTGGTAGAGAAGACATTGCAACTTTATTGCTCGCTAGCAAGAAAGTATCTTTTTACTGTGAAAGCAAAGAAAAATTAGGTATCAAAATCTGTTCATCCTATTTATGGGCTGTATTTGTAGCCAGCTGATTTTTGCATAATGCCATTTGAAATTATCCATTTAACAATGATGGATGATACAAATGTGTTTCTTTGCCTCCACTTTGTAACTGATCTGTCTACTTATAGATTGTATTGGACATGTTGCTGATGCTTTATTTGTAAAATTCACTTACATATGTGAGAAATTTGTCCATTAAGTCTTACTGACTTCACAGTGGCTTCTAGATAACTAGACTTATTCCTGTATGCAAGCAAAACCAGCCCAAGCCATAAAAAGCATAGGAACATAGAGCAAAAAGATCTGGGAGTATTTTGAGGTGTGTTAAGTAAATTAAAATTTAAGCAGTTAAACAACTTCTGAATAAAAGGTAAGACGTTCTGAATGCTTTAGATTAAAAGAGTTATAATCTCAAATTGCCATCAAAACACTTGATTTTGCTCTTATGTATTTCTTAGCTCTATTTTACATTTGGTACAACATTATATGTTGTGTCATGAGAAATATGTAACTAACGTTTTCAATATTTTGCCTAATTATCAAATCTTCCAATGTCTGTGAAGTGTGAGTCCAGAGTTAATGTTCACAAACATATTGATTAACCCATAAAAGTTTCTGTGGGCTTTTCTAATGGTTCAGTGTAGCCTCTGAAGCTGATGAGAACTTCTGGAGGTACCAGGGATGCAGGTGAGAGTCCTTCAAGAAGCCAGGGTCAGCTGCTTAAGAGTTTGTGCAGTGAAGCATTGTATTTTGGGAGGCACTAAAATATATGAGGTGCTCTTTTCTTCACTTTGTATTAGCAGACATCAATAAGTCATAGAGATGACCTCCATCTTCCAAAGAGAAGGAAAGCTAGAAATGAAGACACATTTCTGTTATCAGTCTGCTGTGGGTCGTAAGTTGAACTGGTGGTATATTTTCCTCTGAAAGCTGCATAGCCTTGACACGGTGTTTAACAGTATTAAGCTTATTGCTGCTGAGCTAAACATGTCTGAAGCAAACGATGACCCTCACGTCTTTGCAATAGCAAAATGTCTCCCTGATGTGATCCTGCAGACTTGGAGCATTAAGTTAATTTTCCCCTGGATTTCTGAGCTGCCTTCTTTTTACCCGGTGGAGAGCTTGTGAAGAATACAGCTTCTGACCGAATGACAGAACATAGAGGGTGAAATTAGATGCATTCAATTAGAAGATGACAAAAAGACCATCTAAATATTTGTCAGGGTACTACTTACAGGGCATAGTGTCCAGACTGGGAAGTGAAAGGCGGCTGCTCTCAGGATTTAGGAGTTTGGGGGGTGAAAAATATGGGTAAATCATCCAGATTCCTTATGGGGTTGGAAGGGATAATTGAGGGTATCAAGTTGGCTGTTATGCTTCCAGGGCTGGTCATCCTTCTCATGTAATCTCAGATTAGTTCTTTTCTTGTATTCACTATTACAGAATTAGCCATCACAAAGTTTTTTGGACCACTTTTCGTTATCCATCCACCACTAGAGGATGGATAATGCAGTGGTTTATGGGAGGTATTGTAAAAAAGGGGCTGCACCTTCTCCACAATTAAAAAAACCTATCACAAAACAAACAAAACCACAAAGCCATGAAACCCAAAGAAACAAAAAGCATGGACAAACTTGTCAACTGTGAGATTGTGGGGTTTGGACCAGAAGTTTTACTGGTTTTCCAGAGGGCAAAAAGATGCTCTTGAAAACTAACATTCAAAATAAGTGGTAAACTGAATTAAGAGATCAAGATACGCAGCTTGGTTTGGCCACGTCTGTTTGTCCATATATTAAATTCATAGCAACTTTTTAAAATCCAAGAGCAAATCTCAGGCTTTTAATTTCTTGTTCAGAAAATTTTAATAAGGAAAATATAAGATGCGAATACAGCCTATGATGTTTACCTCTTTTTTTTTTTCATTTCTGTTGCAGCAGTTCAAGGGAGAATATGACTATGATAGGGTTAATCCAGCTACATAAAAATCCATGCTGTGTATAATAGTAGTAAAGCTTGTGATCCCTTGATCTTTGATTAGATCCAAGCTAGTAAATATCTTGTATTTAATCAGAATGAGTTGTACTGCATGTAGTATAAGTCACCTTCACAGATGGGATGTAGCAGCAGAGTTGTTCGCGAATATTTGTTTTAATCCTTTCCAGAGCAAGCACGCTCTATGTTTCTTTGTTGTAAATCAGATTCAAGCAACTAAAGACCAGCATGAAGGAAAGACATTTACTTGCAGGCAGGAATAGGAAAGTGTGGGAACCTTTTTTTCCTTTTTAAAGAAAAATGTAACTTACTAGATTCTGGAAAGGTATTTTTCAGTATTCCATAAACGTAACCAAGACACCATGGCTGCTTTTTTAGACTGGGATGCAAATATCATCACTAGAATTTAACTGTTCATGCACATTTCTACCTTAGGAGACTATGAATATATGGAGACTAAGATTTATTATGGTAAATGTTTAACTTCTATTATTATTCTATATTTTGAAGTTATTTAGTTAGAATGGTAGCTGTTCTGTGTGCTGGTAAACTGAAATTATTAAAACATTATCTGTAAGGCTAGTTTTGTGTGGTTTGTCAGCGTCCTATTTACCTAAATCTGTCATAATTGCCTTCTGATACATCTTCCTCTGACATGCCAAATATTGAAAATGAGATGACTCTTTACTGGGAGACTTTCTACCGAATATCATTTTTCTGTGTTCATAACTTGATGGTAATAACTGTATGACCTGTAGTTAAATGCATCTCAATTTCTCTCACTTATTTTTCCTAATCACCACACAGAGCCTTCTGTGCTCAGAGGTGTGATTAGATTTAACCTGCCATCATATCTGAAGAACTTTCTGTACAACATATTATACATTGCAAGAATTATATATGTAAATGGTGGCTCTAAGTGTAATATATAAATAGATAAAAAGATGAGTTGCTCTCATGCCAAAGTTAATTCCTGATCATTTTTTTTCTGTTTTTAACAGGAAGTCTGGAGAGCCCCCACTAATAAACGGCTGGATCCCTTACCTTGGGAAGGCTCTGATTTTTAGAAAAGATGCTTTCAAATTCTTACTGGATCAGCAAAAGAAACTTGGAGATATTTTCACTGTACATATTGCTGGTGAGAAATATTTTAGTATTTCTCTTTTTTTTTTTTACATCGGTGAAGTTAAATACTAATTCAGATGCTTCGTTTAGAATCTTCTGTATCCAAAATCATTTTTGTGTAGCATAGACCAATAAAAATTACTTAAATTCACGTGTATTGTATAAATAATAATTATCCATAGGATATAATTATGAACATGTGGATTTATGTACAGCTATAGGTGTATATGCATATTGACAGAATTTGTAGGCATGTAATGTATGAGCATAGCTTTTGCCAGCACATTTAATTGTGTATTGTTTGGGGATTTTTTTCCTAAAGAAGGGAGAACTAACATCATCTTGACACTGCACAGAAAAATATCAGATTAAATTTAGAAAACAAGAAAAAAAAGTGCAGAATATGTTCTCACACATTTTACAACTGGTTGACAGGAACACAAGGGAATGAATGACACATTGACTCAGTGATACAATCAGGACTGGAACATAGAAACTTCCCATTGCCAGCCTTTTACTCTGATCTTGCTTGCTGAAAATAACAATATAATAAAGTATGATATAACCTTGCTGCTTTCTGTATTTATAGCTGTATTACTACACTAGCTTGAATACAAACATTTGAGTGATTTCACGTAGACATATAGCTCTAGAAAAAAAACATAGAATGAAACTGGAATCTTGAATGAAACCTTAATATATAAGTTTACATATATACACAGATATGCTTTTAACTAAAATCAATTTAAAACCCAGTTTTTTCTTCTATTTGGAAAAAGGCAAACTCTTATTAGTGTAGGTGCATGTAATGGAACTTTTTCCCCTTTACATGCTGATATACTTGTTCAAATGATCAACTTTAGAGTTAAGTCTATCTCGGTTTTAGCTGTTCCTGTATTTTTAGGGAGTTTCAAATAAAAATGTAAAGTGTAAAGTATAAAGTGTGCTTTGTAATTTCCTGCAATAGCTTGAAATTACATTCATATTAGCTTTATATTTCGATACAAGTAATACTTTGCAATAAAAATAATATTTTTCTTCAAAAGTCAATTAATTAAATTGCAAGCCATATGTTAAGTTAATAAAATTTTTCTTCCTCTTACCAAATCTGTTCATTTTTTTTTTATTTGGAAGAGCATTTTTACTTCTATTAAATGTGTGATATTTTTTATTCATTCAGGGCTTTTTCTTTGGAAACTGGTACACTTAGGGGTTTTTTCCTACTTGAAATTGAGTTTGTTGAAATATAGTTTTTGTTGAAATATAGTCTTTTTTATTGTTAATGTATATTCACACTATATACAGTTGTGGCTTCTTATGAATACAGATTAATAGTTGTAATTCAGAGACTACCTTAGTATATTCATAGAACCAGATGCAGTCATACTTCAGAATCCTTACTGTGTTTAATCAAATGCTTATTTCTTTATGCAAGGCTATGTTTAGAGTTTTGTGTGTTTAAGCAATCTATGAGTGTAATCTAGTTTAACAAATTTCTATTTGTGTGCTAGACAAAATTCCATTTCACCTAATCTCCCTGTGTTTGGGTATTTTGAGGAAGCCTTCCTTGATAAAGACTGAGTAAATAGAGTGAGTTCTGGATCATTTCAGCCTTATGCAGGAAGATCTTTGATTTTGTGAGTTTGTCATAACAGATATTCCCCTTTAAGTTCTCTTTTCTTGGTATGAAAATACTAGCCATCAAGAATTCACTGAGGAGAAACAGTTTGTCATTCACAAGTCAAGGAAGAAGCTGAAGCTAGTTAGTACCTCCTATCATGTCCCCATCTGAAGACGTACAGAATTTCTATATGTCTTACTGATTTGAGAAAGATGATGTTTATATGTTCGGCAAACACAGCATAGCTTGCTGTATATGGACTATCATTACTTTGCCCCCCTGGTGGGTGTCTAAAGGTCCTGTCAAAAAATTCTATCAATATATATTGTTCTAATTATTGGTTCTCAAACTAGTTCATTTGGAAAATGTGGAACGATGCTCGGAGTTTCTGGCGTTGCCCCGTACCGGTAATGCGATTTTGCTGATTGTACTTTCCCATGAGATGAGCGAATGATTGTCATCCCTAAAAGTCGCAAGGGACATGGATGTCATCTTAATAAAGAAATTAAAAAGCACATCTTTCTATGAGAAACAATGTAAATTCCTGACCTGTCGCAGAAAATAGTTCTCTAATTGGTTTTGTGTGGTGGTGCAGCAGAATCGTTTTCCCCAAACGTCATGCCAGCGAAGCACCACTGTACATCATTGTCAGCAGTTCAGCCGAATCTCCCTAATAAGAGGACGATTACGTAAATGCAATAGTCTTCAAAAAAAGAAAAAAAAAAAGAAAGAAAAGAAAAGGAGGGGGGAGAGAGAGGAGAGAGTCTGTGTGTTGAGATGATATACTTTCCAAGCCAACCTCTGCTTGTTAAGGGTCAGCAGGATAGGCAGACAGCTAGGTAAGAACTTGAAACAATTTTGTCATTGTTTCTTGGAATTAAACTTTGTCTCCTTTTCCTGGCATGTTATTAGGAATGATACTGAAATTTACAACACTCTCTCTGAGACTAACTCAACTTTTAATAAGATAAGGGTTTTCCACTAAACACACTTGCTTTTTTCAAATGCTGCTGCTAAGTCATTCTTTTCTTTTAAATCATGATACAGCTACAGTAACATACCACATTTTTCTCTTAAGCAAAAGGTAATTTACATTAACTCCTTACCAAGCTAAAGCCTGCTGCAAGCATTACAGAAATAATATCCCATCATTACATGCCATCTGAAATGCTTGTCTTTTATCATTAGCATTAGAAAGCTCCAGAATGCATTATTAGAGTAATTTCTTAACTATCATACAAATACTGGCTTCTGTGCTTGGATTTACCAAAGTTGACAATCTTCATATTTTCCACATCAATCTTCTATTTCTAAGAGACTGTAAAAACTAAATGGAGATAACCAAGCTATTTGCAGCATGGGTGTAACGCAGACTGAAGGATTGGATTGGGAAGTATGAATTCTCTGTAGCTATATTAAAAAATAAAATAAAATCAGAGGGCTTTTTACAGAAACAAGGATACATCTCATCTTCACTGGCTTTTATAGTACTAAATAAAATAGCTCAGTGACTTGAACTATTGGGAATTGGAGTGTGACATTTCTATATGGACATGTCTACTTAGTTTTTTGTGTTGAAGGATTTTTTTACAATCTAGCAAGGAAAGGCTTAGTCCCCAGTGGTTTTTATATAAATACCTTCAATATTGAAGTCTTCCTGATTTGTGGAGCATGTGTTGTGCCTCCACTTTTGGCTAATCTGGCATTTACCTTTACCACTACTTTGGTGGAAATTCATGAGCATCTAGATTTTGGTTCATTTTCAGAAAAGGCTACTTGTCAGAGATAGTTCTTGGCATTAGCTGCAATAGAAAGGCATGGGAGGGGGGAAGCTGCATTTTAAAATACTAGATAATAACTGGAAACTTTAGGAAAGATTTACATTTGTTGGTCTCTGACACCGCCAGGGACAATCAGTGGGAAGAGACCTCATCGGGGGCGACAGAATTTAAAAAGCAAAATTAAGGACCATATTGACACATACAAAATTTAAAATCATAACTTGAGGTGAGAAAGTTTGTTCCAGTTCGGATGTTTGCTGCTCAGGGTAGAGGAGGTGTTGGGGCATGGTTTTGTAATTAGCAATCTGTTCCTGTGTGGAAGAGACTGGGGTAGCCGGTGTAGCCGTGTAGTGCATCTGTGTGCGAGTATGACTGTAATTGCTAAAGGCTCCCATACCCACTCTCACAACAACTTTCTAACTGCCGTTAATTAGCCCTAGATTTTAGGGTTTTTTTCTAATTAAGAGATCTAAAATTAGATTCTTGGTGAGGTACGCAAACAAGCTGCCTTTGTTACAAAGGGGTTCTAGTTTTCTGACTACGTAGACCTTTACTAACTGCAGTAACAAAAGTATTTGGGTTTATGTGTTTGTATGTATTGTTTATTTGCAGTGATGTGGTCTGGAGCCTGAATTGATTCTACAAAATGAATTATATTTCAGTACATACTTACTTTTTGCTACCAGGAACCTGATGAGAATAATAAAAATCAGGATCTTTAATATGCTGTTTCTCAAAGGGTTTGTTGGTTGGTTTGTTTTTTTCTTTTAAAGTATATGCTCGTGTTGAGTGAGTTTTGATCTAAAATTATTGCTAAAATAGTTTGTTTGTCTGAAAACTCATTTGCTGAAAATCATTTTCTTACATAAAGATGATAAGAATTGATGTGCGTTTGCTAAGTGTCTGATTAAAGATCACAAAGAAACTCATATTTTGCATCAGAAATAAGCAGATGGTGGACAGATGGTTTAAATTAATATTAATTAAAAATCTTAACTTAAATTGTTTACCCTGTAAACGCAAAGTTAGGAAGCCAGCTTTCATCTTTAGGGTTAATAACACTCCAGATCTATTTATTAAAGATTGCTCCAATGGGCATTCTTTCCAAGCTTTGATTGCAAAGATGGTAGCCTCAATAAAAAGCATGAAAATGGGTGAAAACTAGAAAGATAAAGCAATTCTAGGACTCTTAACAAAGATCCTGCAGAGGTCCAGGCTAAAAATTCCTACTGATGTCTGTGGTCTGGGAATGAAGAAATCGTCCGACAAGAGGACTGAGAATTCTGGATCTCTTTTTCATTCTGGTTTCTTGATATATCCATTTTTAAAAAAATTAATTTCCATCTTTCTGATTGGTTATGTTACAGTAAAGCAAATTCTACTCAAAAATCTTAAAAACCTTGACTTGCTTTTGACAAAAAAAATAAAATAAAATAAGGGTGTCAAATTCTTTCTCAATTCATCCCTTGTGTTTCCTTACTGGTTCATTGGGATTGCAGTGGATGTAACTGGGATGGAAATTATGGCATCTGTTAATTGCAGAGGACATCCAGAGTGGTGCAATCAGATTTACCATAGAGCACTGAGTATATGTAAAACAGAATACAGAATAACTATGATAATTCAAATATCAGTATATGGTAACCATGGATACTTGTTGACATTTTTAGTGGTAGTGACTACTTTATCTCAGGACATCTGTCACAGAGCCAAATTTGGTCCTCCGTTAAGCATGTAGTGTTCCCATTAAAATCAAAGGAGATTTGTCCCTTTAGTGAGACAGAATTAGACTGTAAGTCCTTGAAGCTTTGCTGTTTTCCTATTTTGTAACTGGGATAGTTCACAGAGGATGTGTACATTTTAATGTACACATTAAAGAGGATGGGTACCCTTTTTCCCTAATTCATCTCTCTATTCAAGTTGAGAATCCGGAATTCTAAATTTAGGCTTAACATGGGAATAAAGGGTTAAAATTCATTTGAGCTTTTTGAGTGTTACCATTTTGATTCATGGTTGTTCCCCAAAATGCTCTTCTTTAGTAGCTGACTTAAAGTTTAGGGAGAAATTGCAGGATTTTTCTGTCAGGGGCAACTTTAAAGTGTCAGATGATGCAATCCTGTCTGTCTGTACAAGCAGCCTAACGTATGGGTGTGTCACCTCACTAAGAACCTCAGGAAGGGTAGAAGGTTCTCGGTGCATTCTCAATGGATGATAGCACTAGGACAGTGTGTATCCCAGAATGGCATCCATGTTAAAATGGTAGCCTGCTCCGTGGCTTCAAAATCAAGCCCTGAAGTAGTGATTTAACAGATACTAAGCACATTCTCAACAAAAAGTTAGCAAAACTTCAGGAAAAAACAAAACAGATGTAAGAGAGGCTTTAATGTTGGGGGGGTTGCAGTTTGCATTTAAAGCTGTAACCAGCAGATATTGCGTTCCTGTGTGATCTGCTTGAAGAAAAGCTGCCTAAGTGGCATGTTTTCCACTCCAGCCCCCATTGTTCACTTTCCTCCAGGCAGGTGAAATGTGTGTGTCTCTCCCTTCCTGCTGGTAAAATACCCTGTAATCTTCTAATGCTGCTGCAACCACACATTGTATTTTCATGAATTACACCATAGTAGTAGATGATTTATTTCAGAATACCACAGTGACAGAGATCACTTTTGGCAAAACCAGTACATCAGTCTACATAGACATGGCTTCACACTGATTTTAAAAGAGCCATGAAATTATACACAGGTGGAATCTCCATCCTGACTAAGGGAATCTAAATGAAACTTGTTGTGTCTTACTTTTTTTGTTTGTTGGTTTGTTTTGGATTTTTTTTTGTTGTTGTTTTCTTCTTTGCAGATTTCTTTACAGATTCTTGCTTTGGGAAATTTCTGCATTCTTTTATTCCAGACATTGGCTTATTTTCAGTTATTACTTCTGAAAGCGTCATCAGATTTTAAAAGCACGTCTCAATTTTTTTTCTTTTCTTCAATTCAGGTAGATACATTACTTTTATCATGGACCCATTTCAATATGTCTATGTCATCCGAAATAGCAAGCAACTTGAATTTCATGAATTCGCTGATAAAATGGCTTCCAAAACTTTTGACTACCCAGCCTTGTCAAAAGGAAAATTCCCTGATCTCAAGGAAAACCTGCATAGAATCTACCAGTATCTACAAGGCAAGCCTTTGGATATCATTTCTGACCACATGATGAAAAATCTCCAGGATATATTTGAATGGAAATGCTCACAAGCAACAGATTGGGAAACAGAAAAAATGTACAAATTCTGCTGCTCTGTAATGTTTGAAGCCAGTTTTGTAACACTGTATGGAAGAGTTCCTGCTGCAGATGGCCACAAAGTTATTAGTGAAATCAGAGACAAATTTATCAAGTTTGATGCCAGCTTTCCCTATTTAGCTGCAAACATACCAATTGAGTTGCTAGGAGCTACCAAGAAGGTTCGGAAGGAGCTTATACATCATTTTTTACTTCAGAACATGACAAAATGGCTGGGAGGGTCAAAAGTGGTCCAAGCCAGACAAGATATATTTGAGAAATATGAGCTGCTTGGAGATTATGACAAAGCAGGTAGGAAACTTATGAATGATTGCTTGTCTAAAATAAAATAATTTACTATAGACCTTTGAAATAAAAAGGCAAAATGGCGACCTTGAAATTTTTTTATGTTCTTTCTAATTGGCTAATGATAAAATGTTTTACTCTGAAACAACCCTCTATGATAATTGATTTTTTTTTTGTGCTGAGGTGGTAAAACAAGATACTTAATGGTGATAATGAGAAAGATTATAACTGAGCTGCATTTCCTCCCCTTATTCTCCCCCCCCCCCCCCCCCCCCCCCCCCCCCCCGACATTACATTTCAAACTATTCTCATTAAGCAGAAAATTAGACTTCAGAAGCCTATTGGTCCTCATTAGCATTCACTGATCCTTGGCTGGGTCTGTGTCCTAACATCTTTTAATTAGCACACTGCAAATCTAATCAGTGTAATAAATGCTATTAATCTTCCTTTTCACTTATTTTCTCCCAGCACATCATTTTGCCTTCCTGTGGGCCTCTGTGGGAAACACGATTCCAGCTACATTCTGGGCCATGTATTATCTTCTGCGGCACCCAGAAGCTCTTGCAGCGGTGCGTGACGAGATTGACCATTTGCTGCAGTCAACAGGTCAAAAGAGAGGGCCCACATATAACATCCACCTCACCAGAGAACAATTGGACAACCTGGTCTACCTAGGTAATTTATTTTTATCTGTTAGGAAGAAAAGAGGGGCTCTCCCAGCAAACTCAGTTTATCACTCATTTCTGCTTACTGAGAAGGTGGAGGACACAGCTGCCTAATTGACATAACAACACCCATTTACATCAATTATAAATTATGTAGTTTATAGCTGTAGATACTCTCATTGCATGTAAACATTAAAGCCTAGGTAATTAACTATGCAAGGTATGCAAAAGGCTAAATAGAAGCTTTGCAATTATTTGAAAAAAAGTTGATGCCTAATAAGTTGTTTGATTCTGAGCATCTGCCGAAGTGTTAATGCATTTCAAATACTTCTGTATGGTACTGCCAAGAACGACCCTTTTCTGAAATTAAAGTGGGATAATGTATTTAAACTGCAAATGTAATTTTATCACAAGCAGTTTCTTTCTTTCTCTCTAACAAAACAAAGGCTTCTAAAGCGGGTTTCAGTTGAGCGATGCCTCCAAACAAAATATACAAAGGTAAAGCTCTGCAGTGTAGAAACATTTTTTTTCAGTATTGGAAATGTTACTTTGATTCAAAATAGGGAGCTTTAAGGGAGATACAGGTCTTCCGATTCTAAATCAGGGGTTCAGAGGGAGACTCTTGCCAGTGGCTATTGGAACTTGTTTGATTCCGAAGCTGGGTAGGCCTTCAGAGCATCAGTTGATGGTTTCACTTTGTTTGCTAGTGCACAGGCATTGGTAAGATAAATGCTAAAATTAGGTCAAGAGAGGAGAGAGGGTGTATCAGGTCAGAACCTAACCTTTAAGCCTCTGAAAATCTCTATGGGTAGCATTAATAGGGTAGACATCAGCTGAATAAAAGGTTCAGTACTCCTCTCTTTTCAAATATCAAAACCAGTCCCTGTTAAAACTGACCTCATGGCTGTATGTTTTGGTATCTCACGGCTGTATGTCTTGGTGACTAATGGCCGGAACTGATGTTCCACTCTTAAATGAAGCTGTGTCAAGAGAGTGTTGGAGCAGTGCAGTTTCTGTGCCTGGTTTGGATCTAAGTAATAACTGCTGTTCTTCAGGACCATTCAGTGTGGCATGTCTCAAGAATCTGTGTTCAAACTTGATTTGCTTCTCATAGTAAGAACATAAAATTGAGTTTGATTCAGTTACTTTTTGTTAGAGCATTAATGTTAATCTTACATAGTGTAAGTCTAGTAAGTTGGTTTCATCTGTACTCATGGCTGTTTTGGTGCAGATTTATCGCTAACTGATGAAGAATGCTTTTGAATTAGGGGAGATATGGATGACAAGAGCACTTCCGAAGAATAACACAACATTCTAAGCATTTAATGTACTTTTAAGGAACATAGGTAAAACTGCTTAACATCAGACCTAGCATCCACCAAACAAGATAAAAGGAAAGTTATCAAGTTTCACTAAGATCAGGACAGAATTTACTTTGTATTTGGAAACTGATATGGGAATGGCAAGGAGATAAAAAAAAAAAAAAAAGAGGCACCCCAGAAGTGTAGGAATAAGGAAAATAAAAGTGTGTACTTCACTAAAACCCTCTGGTGCAAAGTGGTATGAACAATTTCAAACATTAACTGTGTCATTGCTCTGCTTCGCTTTGAAATCTTGAAGTACCTTGGTAACGTTTGATTTATGTGTTGAGAGGAAAGTGCCACATCCTACTTTACTTTGTAGTATTCTTGTAACACTTTTGTTAAATTTTATAATCATGTTAAACATAATGTGATACGAACAGAAGCTAGATTTCAGTTATTCTGGCACTTAAATCATAAAGGGCTGGATACTGCCCCATAAAATAATAATATAGAAAAAAAATCTGTACCATAAGAGAATTAAAATCATGCTTCATTGGAAAGAGGAAAGGGATGTTTTGTTAATAAATGTGTAATAGGGACAAAGGTCCCCATTTGCATTGCTTGTGCACCAAAAATCCCCCACACTGAAGAAAGGCTATGGGCAAGAACTGCCTTTGCCCTTGCAGCTCACTTATCCCAACCTCCAAGGCCGAGCTTTTCCACTTCCCACTCTCCCTGTGCCAGCCCAGAGTGTAGGAAACTAAGATTTGTGTCCCTGCTCTTGAGTAAGGCAGACCAGGTGGGATTCTTGTATGCTCAGCACCTTGTCATCTCATTCTCCTGTTTTAAGCGCTCTGATTCTCTGTCCTCTTTTTGGCCTACTATAACAAGAGCCTTTTTTTGGATTCCTCATGCTATGGAGAACAAGCAAAAATTGCTAAAAAGCCTTTCTGTGGGAGCAGAGTTGTTCTTATGGTCAGATTCTTTGGGTCTAGGGAACAACATGCCCTTATTTACTTCTAAATTCAAAGCATAGGTATGTGATATTTTATTAAAAAAAAAAAAAAGAGGGCTTTCAACCCACAGCAGAACTAGCACATTTTCACCCTGATTATTTTTTTTCTGTCTGCGTAAGACTTTTCCCAAAACCCAAATGCACTTATTTGTGTGTGCAGAGGAACATACATTATTAGTCATTATGGCTCACAATGGAGCTCTAATATGGTAAACAACACATGAGAATGGTCTGTCAGTTTTTATGGTTATAATGGAAACGCAAAGGGTAAAGCAGAGATGTACTTAGTGCATGTTTAATGCTAGACATGTTTAGTCAGTTCGTTTGTTTAATATTAGTCCATTCATTTATATGGTGAAGTATTCTTGCCCCAGGTCATTGCTGAATCCCAGATATCTCCTGCGAAAAGAGCACAGCTTGAAAAATTGTTTTGTACACAAGAAAGGGTAGGAACCCAAAAACAGCTCATACAGAGTGTGTAGTCATAACATAAAAATGCTAAGCACTAAAATCGTTGGTTGGATTGAGAGAAATTAATATCTTTTCCTGGAATGGGCTGGGCAGTATTATTTAGTTCATAGTAAGATGCAAATGTACTTGTTTCAGATTGTTGTTTGTGTTGGCACACCGGGATGCCTGTGTGTAAATGACACACCCCCCCCCAAATATTTGCATACTCAATAGCTATTTTCCTACAATACACTCTAATAATTATAGTACCCTATTACCTGCTATGTGTTAGTGCAAAATTAACAATCCATTATGCACAATAAGTTTTATAAAACATTTATAGATAGAGATCATGTTTAATTAAAATTAACTTGCCCACGAAAGCCAAATGCACTTATGATTCCAATGACCTTTTATTACCTGCAGTCCCTTGTTTTGGCTGGATGATTGACAGCTTGCTGTTTGGCTACCATGTTGTATTTCAGCTGACAAGACTTTTCATTTTAACTCAATTTGCCTGCCTATCACAAGCTGGTGGCAGGCCAGGCTCAAGTCACCCAGCTTTGCCTCAGCAGCTTGCTCTATTTCTCATTAGTACGCATTTATTCAGTGGAAATTGGAAGACAAATGCTTGAAGGCATGTGAACTAAGTATAGCAAATTAGGGTTTAAAGACTGAATATTTATAAGTATATTGAAACAGTTTTTTAAAAAAATCTAGAATGAATTAGAAGCTGAGTGCTAGCTTTAGTATAAGAAACGAAGAGAGAAGTGGGAGGATTCTAAGAATAACAATACTATGAGAGAGATATCTCTCTCTTCCCCCCCCCCCCCCCCGAAAATATGTAAAATCTCTCTGACAACACCTTATCAAACAACAGCCTGGCTTCTTTATGTAGCGCTTGCACAGTGACGTTTAGCATCTCATGTGTGTAAGAAGGGGGGGGGGAAATGAGGGTCATGTTCATTTGCTGCTTGGTTATCCCTTGGTATGCTTTAAATTGCCTTGTTTGTTCGGCACAAGCACAGAAACAGATGTTGCTCTACCGTGCTGGATAATTTACTGTACCTCACAGTTCAGAATGGAAGGCCTCCCAAGCTACCCAGCTGGTCTGTCAGCAGCGATGGCTGGTGTCTGCTGAACTATGACAACTGCAAGTAAAGGCTGCAGTTTTATTGTGCAGTTGTCATTCCTCTCAATGTATAGCCCCTGCATTTGTGGAAAGCTGACTGTCTATTTTTTTAATGTGAGCTTGCAAAGCGATATAAGCTCCATTCTCCTTTGTTGATCATAATGTGACTCATTACTTTTGTCATCTAATGATTATCGGCATGATCGCTCAGAGCAAGAGCCAAGCTCGCCTTCCACACATAACTGGTACTGGAAGGTAAAACAGATTTGTCATTTACGATCTGACCGCTAAGCCACACTTTGTGCTCCATTATTGTGATTAACTTCTGCATAAGATATGCTGCCCAATTGTCATTTGGGATCCGGCAGCGGGCAGGGACTGCCACGCTTTCTGGGAAGATGTCCATTGATGGGATGTGACCGCATCAGTTGGGTGGTTAAATGTAAACCTGCTATTTTGCAGCAGCAATTTAATAATTTTTTGTTGGTTGTTTTTTGTTTGGTTTTTTTTTCCCCATTTTCACTCTTCCTCATTTGATTTCTGCTGTTGCTACATGTGTCACCACCATGTCCAAATAGTGGACCATCACAGAGTTACCAGCTTCATTTTCCACAGGTTGAAGACCATCTGGGAGCAGGGGCTGGACCCTTTCTTTGTACCACATAAAGTTTTGTTGCCAGAACGCTGCCAGTTGAAATCTATCGTGTCAGGTGCCTTGTGGCTATCCGCAGTAGAGGCCATCTTCTGGAACCAGGGTTCTTTTCTGGCTTCGTCACCAACAAGCCGATTTGACTCTGCCTGATTATAGTAACGAAGGCAGTCCAAAAGAATATGCACAGACTCACTGTACGTCACATTGAATCATGGTGCTGGCCACACAAAGCTGACCGCAGCCTCATTTCTTTAGACAAATGCATGCTTAAGGAAAAACCTCCTGCAAGAAAGCATCCAGGGCCACTTTATTTGCTATGCATGCTGCACCAGATTTAATTTTTAGTGAAAGAACGTTTGATTTTTTTTTTTTTTCAGAGGCATCTACACTGAGTAGCTACTATCTCTAATAAACTAACCTTTCGGGTGCAGCAGTCATAGTGCCTTGGTGAACACTTAAAGAAGGCTTATTTGATACCACAGAACATAAATGCAGACACAAATGGATGATTATGTGCAAATGAAACCCTATTTTAGGCTATTTTTCACACTGATGATTAGAAGGAATCAAGTCACATATAACAGCGCCCATATACGCTGGTGGAAAAATAGTCAGTTTTGATTACAAAGTGAGAGATGCAGCCCTAGACAGGAGCTACATACTGATATACATGCTATCAGAATGATTTATGCAAATTATGCATATTATTCCCAAAGGAATTCCTCCTCAAACTGCCAGGATAAATTGCCGGAAATTAGCCATAAAATCTGTCGTGCTAGGAGCAAAAGGTGAAGGCCACTGGGAGAGCAAGGACATTCAGCTTCTGGAGCCTTCCAGGATGTGATGGTGGAGACAGAAATCTTGCTTTCCCTAAGCCTGAGAGGACTATGTTTCCTTTTCTCTTGGCTAATTAAAAGTGTCTTTCTCTCTTAAGATTACCAGGCAAATAATGTTGCTTTCATTCACTCTGACCATAACAGACACTATCATTTGGCAATGTAGCACACTGGAAATAAAATAAAGAAATTTTAAAATCCTTAGATTTACTATGAAATTAACAAGCAAAATTATTTTTCTAACATGTAGTCCTGACATTCCATCCAACAGCTTTCAAAAGGCAAGCTAAACAGCTCCATGGATGCTTTCACTGGTATTTGCTAGCAACCTCCAAAATGCATGTAAATGCATAAAGCGTTCCTGTCTTTTGATTGTGTTGCTTTCAATGTGATGCCTGAATAATGACTTTCTACCCAAAACTCAGTGCTGCCTACAGCTGACAGGATTTCTCAGCACCATCAGTGAGAATCATATCGGGAGGTTCAGCATCGTGGCTCCCCCCTCCCAGCCCTGTGGGGTTGTTTATTGCCTCCTCCTGGTCTCTGCTTTATGTTTGGTTTGGTTTGTGTTGTTTTTTTTTCCTTTTTTCTTCTTTTCCTTTAGCCTGCCCTACTAAACCCATCAGGATTCAGCAGCTGTAGCCATGTGTAACTTCCAGTCATCTCCCATATTTCTGATGCTTCCCTCCCTCCACTTTTGTTTAATCGCAGAGAGTGCCTTAAACGAGAGTTTACGAATGTGCTCATCCTCCATGAACATTCGCATCAGCCAGGAGGATTTTGTTCTCAAGCTTGAAGGGAATCAAGAAGTCGGTTTGAGGAAAGGAGACTGGATAGCCCTTTACCCACAGATTTTGCACATGGACCCTGAGGTCTATGAAGATCCTAAGGTAAACATTCAGCTGGTGCTACTCTTCCTACTCCAGGCACATAGCAGCAGCCAAGCCTTTTGTGATCTCTGGGTTGTGGGGTTTTTTACTGCTGTTCCTTCTTGTGGAACAAATCTTGCTACTTTCAGATGTATTTTGTAGGGCCTGATAGGTCAAAGAATTCATGGCCTGAAGACAAAAATATGGTGATGAGACTGCTTTCAAAGGAATTGACAATTGCACATACACTACCATAAACATTAGGGTTTTGTTTGGCAGTGGATCATTTGATACCCAAGGAGGGCTGAATAATAGAAGGTGGTTTAAATACCAAATAATGTGGGCCATTTAGCTAAGTGCCCGCAAAGCATCATTGACTTTCTGAAGCCCTATAATAGCAGTGTCTTACTTGAGCCTTATGCTTTTTCACCTCCCTTCATAGGGATTCACCCCTTCTTGATCAATTAGTAGAGTGTTGTGAACTTGAGGCTGTAAAGATGTTGCTCTGCAGCAAAGCTCAGAGGGTAATTGTGTCATCTCCTTGTATTTTTCTCTGATGCTGGAGTTAATGAATATCAAAGACTCGAAATTAGTCCACCCTTCCTCAGCCTTAATACAGCTTCAGAAGTTCACCACCTGCATGCAAATTGGGTAGTCCTAGTCTTGGCTAGGTTGCTCCCACAGATTGTCCCATGCACAGGGTGCCATGAAGGAAGAGTGAGCTCCACACTGAGGCTCTTAAATGGCTCCTCTGCCTGAGAGGCAAGAGCTCATACCTGATCTGTTCCTGATCCCCATTTTCCTAAGCAAATGGTTGTCTCCCAACCATGCTGATTTCCATCCTTGGCATTTGAGCCAAAGAAGAAGGGAACTGGATTTTTTTACATATTTATAGAAAACTCATGTTAGAGGCATTTCTTGCTGGGGCTCTGCCTTTCAGGAATTTGGGGATACGAGGTTGCAGAGGAAAGATGAGATTCAGGTGTCTTGTTGGTGCATGTTAGCATCTCACTGTACAAGAACTCCACCAGCCTTCTTACCTTAACTTATCGAGTTAGGGTTAGGGTTAGGGTTAGGGGAATAGTCACGGGGATGAGCATTGGAGCCACAAAAATGTAAATTATGTTCAGGATGGTTCTGCTGGCTGTCCCCACCCAAAAATGAGGACAAAGCCCACTGAGAAAATTAGAATTTTAAAAAAGTATCCATATATTGGCAAATAGTCAATTAATATTTCTATCCTTAAAAAGTAACAGTTAACAAATGAGCTTTTTCTTATTTTATTCTTAACACCTTATTTTGGAGAACATTATTGATTTGTCAAAGTCCATCTGTTTGTTTAGGTCCTAGACCAAAAGCATCAGTGTAGAAACTGATCCCCTCCCTTATCCAATAATTGCCGGAATATATTACCATATTTCCATTGCTTGAATATATCTGCTTAGTATCAGCTCAGCTCAGCTTTCACAGTACAGCTTTAGTTCATATATTTTATCTTTTTGATAGTGAATGAGCAATCCACACATTGCGGTACATTGACTTCAGCACATGGGCCCTCTCGAAAAGTGGGGAAATCACTGTTCTGTTTAGTTCTTAAAATATGCAGTGTGCTTTCAACAATAACTACTGAGGATCAGATAGCGATGGAGAATGAATTTTTTGAAAGGTGCAGTCTTGAGCTTGTCATGTATTTAGGGAAAACTTTCCTGGGAAAACAGGCAGCTTGACGAGATAATTTTGTAGCAATGCTTTTCTCCTGAATACATAAATTTAAGTTCAAGCTATCTTCTGCTTTGGCACCACACTGTATAAGTGTAAGCATATATTATTGACCTCTTTCTCCACTCATCAAAACCTAATAAAAGAGTCACTTCTCTCTGAAGTGGATAAAGTGAACCCCTAAATCCTAACTCAGCTAGTTACAGAGCTCAGTAAATGAATTCTGCAAATCCCATAGAGCGAAATATCAGGAAACCGTACATGGTGGCTTCCCAAACAAAGCCAAATACAAGATGTGACAGAGGGAGACTTATATCGATCACAGGAGATTGCTCCATTTTCATAATATTCTTCACAGGCCATCCACAAGGAACTTTATCATCTGCTCTTGCCCAGTGTCTTCACCCTTTCCTTGCCATCAATCACGCTGACTCTTCCCAGGAGGCCTTGTGCATGACTGAAAGCTCCTTTATTGTCAAAAATTAGTTGTTATTTAGCCAATGAACTGGCTTTTAAGGAAACAGTGTCCTACCCAAGGGGCTTCAGCAGCGCAAGCCTGAGTTTGATGTCACTGTCACTGGCTCAGTTCCTGTCTCACACTTACTTTCTGCTTTCCCAGTTCCTTAGACACCAATTTATTTTTCGTTAAAAGCAATTACAAGTCTCAGATGGCTCTTAAGAGGATAAAGAAAGCATAAGGTTTGACCCAGTATGTCTATGTGTTCAATACCACCACTCATAATTGCTCCAGGTGCTAGGAGTGCACCTTGCGGAAATGTTCCAACAAAGTGAAGAGCTCTGGTTTGGGTTGTGTTGTTTTTGTAAGCTGTTGCAGTTCATATTTAGCAGTGGTGTTTTTAGACCAGTAGGATTTAGATTACAGGAAGTGAATCTTTTTTAAGGGAGAAGGGATATTCTGGGCTTTCATTTGTCATTGTGCTTCTTCAAATGAAGTGATAACTTATGAAGGAAAAAAATATGCCATGCTTCCTTTTGTCTGGAATGTTCAAAGAGACTGAAAAGAATTACTTGGCAGTGGACACACACACACCTTTGTGGAAAATCCAGACCTCTGCAATTTAGAAAAACAAGATCCTGTTCTTCAACCCAAAGTTACATCCCCTTCAATGCACCTTGTATTTGTTCCCCTTCTCATAGACCACCTCCCCCGCCTCTGTTTTTTTTCTTGACAGCAAGACCTGCAGTGCATGTTTTACAAAGCCTTTAATCTAATGGGTAGATCAGTATCACTGTGTTTTTCATTGTAGCGTGTTTCTTTTTTAATCAGTAGAGGTTGGTTTCTGTCTGACTGACTTGTTCCCAGCCAGCTCCAAATGGCTGCTGCTATAGCAGATGTATGCAAAGCAGGACAAATGCTAATGAGTGACCATAAGCAAGAAGTGTCTGTCATTTTTATTCAAAGCATGCAGGAGGATTTTGTAAGTGGTTAATTTGCCATTGACTGAGTGAGGATGCCAGATCTCCTTCATTCAAAAACATGAATTATCTCTGAACAGGGATCCTGCTACTGGAAAATAGTCAGAAAGATGTACAATTTATGGGACATAGGTTACAAGTGCAGCCTCAAGGTTTATTTGAAAGCACTTGCCTTAAAATGGTCAGTCACTACTACTGCTTTGCACACAGCTTCTGGAGCAAAACATTTGAAGGTAAGATGTGGCAAATTAAGCAGCAACCATCTCCAACTGAAGGGAAAATTGACTGCAAAGCATCAGGTCTGGTTTTCAAATAACCTGCACCACTGGGTGCAAAAGAAGGATGGATTTTGCTCTAGCTTGCAAGAGCAAGATCGGTGCAATGCATTAATTTATTCATAGGCATTTGCAGAATTTGGCAGATTATCCTTATTCATGATGTATGTACCACACTGAGCGTGTATGATGCTTTACAAGAAAATTGTCTTTCCACTAAGGTTCATTGTCCCTGCTACAAAGTGGTCAAAATCTAATTACAATCAATATAGGTGAGACAGTGGATGAGACATGGAAGTTGAAGGAGCTTGATGTAAAAGGGCTAAGCTAAGTAAATGGATTTGAGGAGTGTTCTTTGCAAGGAAGGTAATGTGAGTCAATGAAACCTGAGGGAACCAACTAAAAAGGAGAAGCTGTCAGCTCCTTGTCTTCCTCTTTATCTTATTTTCTGAGTTTCAGAAGCATTACTGTTGTGCAAACAAAGCCACTCATGTAACTGCCTTGTTAGATATCACGCTGTCTCTCTTTTATTTTCAGGAGTATAAGTTTGATCGATACATAGAGAATGGCAAGAAGAAAACCACCTTCTACAAGGCAGGAAGAAAACTGAAGTATTTCCTAATGCCCTTTGGCTCTGGGATCAGCATGTGTCCAGGGAGGTTCCTTGCAATGAATGAGATGAAGATGTTTCTTTTCTTACTGTTGGCTCATTTTGATGTAGAACTAGTGGAAAACAAAGCTGTAAGACTTGATAACAGCCGTATGGGCCTTGGTATCCTCCTGCCAGACGTCGATATTGACTTCCGTTACAAGCTAAGGTCCTTAAGAAAGTGAGTGGCTGCCTATATGCCTTCTACTAATCTCTGTGTTTGCTCTGTTTTATCACTCAGCTTTGTATTTTTGGAAGCATTTGCTTTTCCCTCTCTGCTTTTACCTCCTTCCTATTTGTTTCTAAGGAGAAAAGCCCTTTGGCTGGAAGTAGATACCAGATGCAGGGACATGCAACCTCATTTTGTCCTGCCTGAGTCATGAGTAGTAACCTGAGACGACAAGAGCTTGGCCAAGTAAATGGTCCAGTGTCCCTACAAGACAGACCCCCCAACTCTTGGCCATGAATTGGGTAGGATTTACAGGGAGGATGACATCAAGCTGAATCCAGGCCATTTATATGGCAAATGGGCTTAGCAACCCTTTGTCACAGGGATTAGATTGGAAGGTCCCATACACTCACCATCTGGGGGCATCTCTGCATCTGGTCATAGAAGAATAATAGTAAGAAAGGGGGAACTTCATTCTAGGGGGTGAAAGACTTTTTAGTGATTATTATTCTAACTTTCTATTTACTCTGTTCCCTTCATGGTCTTCTGTGTCTTAGCCCTTATTTGGGAGATGTAATGGAAGCTGTGTCGGGTGGTGGGGAATGATTTGCAAGACTGTCTTACTGGCAACACATTTCTGACTTCAGTTTGATGTACTGAGGGTGAATGCTTTGCTTCTCTTTTTTTCCCCTTTTTTTTTTTCTGCAGTGCAAAGAAATTAAAATCTGTGATTTTTTTCCTGCAGTCATTTTCAGTCAGAAGGGAGGTTCTGTTGATTTTAATAGGATCTGGATCAAGCCTAAATTATCTATTTCGGCTTTTGAGCCAAAAAAAGTATATTCTTCAGGAGAGAATATATGAGCCTGTTTGAAATATTCTAGCATCTCAAAAATGACCTTCTGTTCCTCTCACTGATTTCCTAGTACATGTCCATGTGTTTATTTTGACCATTTCTTGTGTTTGTTCTTTTCTCCAAGAAGGCAAAAGAAGAAGAGGGCTTCCAGAGCAAGTGTGGTATCTAAACCTAGTTTTTAATAGTGTTTTACTGTGCCTAAGTTATGCGTAGTGTGACCTGTGTTTGGAAACGTATTTGTCCATCTACAAATTGGAAAACAGGCTCTTCCCTGCGGCCAAAATTTGTCCAAGTTAAAACCCTGGGCAGCCACAGAAGTTACCTGTATCCTGACTGCCCAACCTGCTTCACTGGGTGACCAGCTTTTGTTCCAAAATTAATTAATTTTACTTAGCAAGATGTTTAGTCGCTGTCTCTTCCCAGCCATCACTTCAAAGACTGATGAGGATTCTTGTGGCTGTCCCGTCTCAATTTGCCAAGAGGATAATTGTGATGGGAGAGTAGCCATGTCTCTGGGCCTTGTCTTGTTTTCCCAAAAAACATCTCTCTCTCTTTGGGATGTGTCAGTGTAAGTCTTTTAAAGTCATAAATTTTACTCATCTCTAAAGCATTTGATGGCCTATGGATGGAAACTTCTGCGTACATAGTAAGGGTGAGAATTATTTATTGTTATTTGTGTAGGAGCCTGTGTAGTTATTCATGTAAAGCACATACCCTAAATAAGCATCAGCATCAGTAGAAATGCTTTCAGAGATTGGCATAGCCACACTCTAAATCCTCCGAGGAGAAAATTGTAGTTTTGTGAGATATATTGGATAAACATTTTATCTTCATATATATTATCAATAATGTCTGCAGTGTTGGAGTGCGCTTACATTAAATGGGCTTTGCAGTTGATTAAATGTTTTAACTTTGCTTCAACATTTAATCAACAGCAAAAGCTGATTATTGCTTTGTGCTACAGAATAAAATTTGTTTCTGTGGAAAGATTCTTGTACTCAAGTTACTTGCTCCTGTAGTTACTCCGTAGGAGCTGTTCTGTACTCAGCCATAGCTCACAATGCAGTCTGGACATTAGAGAGAGGAGATGTTGGTATCATTGCACTGCTGACTGTATTCCATTATTGCTTGAGTGTAAGCTGTAAAATGTCTCATGCCACAGTTTTGATAAATCTTTCTTTGGCACTTTGAAACAAACCTGAAGCAACTGCAAAAATAACCATAGGTATTAGTTTTAAACGGAAGACTTTTTATATATATAATTGTATTCTATTTGGGGGATTTTCAATTAGGATATCACAGGCTGATTCATAATTTGGTAGGACATAATAGGACTGTGCCAAAAGTATGTGCAAATCATTAGTAATTTTGGATTAATTGCTGATCAGTTTGTATAGTATCTATTTTGAAATTAAAAGAGTTAGATTGTCTCCGAAATAGTCAATTAAATCTGTAGGGCATGCATCCATTTAAAAAAGAATAAAAGGATCAGAGTCTTTCCCAGGAGCTGCAGGAAACCTCTGTGAAGGCACTTGAAGGGCTTGCATGGGGTTGGAGAGCACTCCTTGCACTACACAAAAGGCCAGCATTTCACTGGGTAAGAGTGAGTTAGTCTTTTTGCTTAGGGACCAAATAATCAAAGATAAAGCAGGGCCTACCCAGTTTGTCCTGGAACTGTGTCCCTAGTAACTCGTACTCCTGGTAGATTAGTTTTACTGGTAAGTAACATATCACTACCTTAGCATACCCCAGCTGCAGAGGAGGTAGTCCTCACCCCCATATACAGTCATGAGAGCTAGAACAGGACAGAGGAAAAGCCCTTCTGGTCCATGTATTTCTTAGCTGAGGAGGTGACTTACTGAGTCAGCAGCTCCTCTGACCAGGACTGACTTGGTCTCCATGGAGCAGGGAGTGAAAGGCCCATGATGTCAATAAACCACAGCAGTGCAAGAGGATGAGGGTACACCATTCCTGGAGGTCACAGCTGGAGCCATGACAACAGCATGTTTTATGACATAGGACACAATGCAGTTTTTGATGATCTCTGCTGCCACAGAACCCAGGAGTGACCAGCTCTTAGTGTCTGTCAGAGGGCCACAAAGACAGCAGTCATTGACACAGAAACAGCAGTGCTGTTTACAGGCATTCAGGTGCCAGTGGTGCTGCAGGAGTGAGTGGTGAGAGACAGTCAGACCTTGCGCCTCCTTTGTCCATGTCCCTCCGCTCCCCTTCAGCAGGAGGGTCTGCCCTGCAAGCCCAGCAGTGCTTGCTCATCTCACCAGCCAGGTGTAGGGTCAGCTAGGAGGAGTGCACGGGTGCTCCTGGAATCTCTCTGCTCTTTCTCTAGTGAAACAGTGCACTTGTCAGTCTGAGATATGACTTGTCTGGTCAGTAGGAGCCTCCGACTGTAAGTTGTCTCTGCCTATGGTTATATTGATTATATTGATTATATTGATAGTATATTCTGTTATTAAAAAAAAAAAATCAACTTTTTCTCATTTAAAATAGATTTAAGTCAGTATGGCCCTTTACAGCACCTGAGAAAACTGAATTCATTGTGAACTAATGTGAATGCTAAAATGTGACTTTTTATTACCATTTCAATTTACAGATCGTATGTTTTCTATTTTCATGCTGGCAGTCAGTACTGCTATAAGCTATTGTAAAATTTTTAAACTGTTACATTGCTTAAAAGACCATGTTAGTCTACATGTACCTGTTTGCAAATTAATCTCTCCCAATATGTCCTAATGTGCTAATACAAAACTGTGATAGTTGTTCTTGAGTTTATGCTTCTAAGCCAGTTGCATGTGGTGGGTGTTGCTATTTTTATGAATAATTACTGTGAATTTCTCTTGTAGAATTATAAATGATCTTTTATTTCCTCATTGTTGAACTATCTGACATTCAAAATATTGTGAATTGCTCTTAATTGTGCAAACTGACATTCTGTATATAGATGAACAATGGTTAGGTTCTACTTTAATAGTTAATATCCACCATGAAGGCTCTTAGATCGCATAAGGTCTATTGTGAATTTCTGAGCAAGAAAATTAAAATTTCATTATTTTAGTAATCTAACATCTTAAATGAATTTTGTATTTTAAGGACACAATAAAAATGAATATATATATTTTAATATTGAATGACTGCCTATGGTATTTTTTCCCTCACATTTATGCTTTTCTCACAGATTCACAACTATTGCTTTAATTTTTAAAGTATTTATTCAGCATACCACATTTTTCTGTAACTTGATCTTGAAAGGTATTTCAACAAATTAAAAAAAAAAAACAACAAACCAAACTCTAATTCAGCACTGGCATGGAGGAACTTCCTTGAATTTAGGAAATTATTAAATTTGTTTTACTCTCCCATCAAACTTAAGCCACTTCTTACCAGATAAGAAAAAGGAGTGGTACTGCTGGCATTCCTAGGACATTATTCAAAATTAGTATAAAGATCTGCAATCCACTAGTGATTCCCAAATACAGCTCCTAGGCTTTTCCTTTTGCAAACCTCTGCATAGTACAAGATGTACTACCTGGTGTAAAGCATTCTGTCCTCTCAGATCATTCATTTTAAAAGGGGAAATGAATGAAAATTGTTACAATAAACAGCACTGTGCCAGCAAAGCACAGCTTGGCTTTTCTAAGTATCACTGTAGCTACGGAGTTCTACAAGTAGGTATTTAATATGAAGGTTGTGCCCCAAAGACATCAGTGTTTATTCATTAGCTCATGCAGAAATGCTTGTCAGGTATGGCTGTGAGGGTTGTTGAAGGTGTGTCCCTAGAGAAGGTAGACCTTGCAGCAGTTTTCTGGGTTTGATTAATGTGTTTGTAACTATGCAATTGCTTTAACTCCAGATTATAGTAGAAGTTAGTAAAGTTTACAAACAAAAAGTGGCATTTTTTGAGATTTCTTGAAGGGCACATTTCTGACTGAGCTTTCTGTGATGGTCTGAAAGATGGCTTGGGCAGGGGGGATTAATAAGACCTCCTAACGCTGTATAATACTTGGGTTCATACAAAATTCTTTCTTGATGTTACTTATATCACATTGTATTTTAAAATTACTCAGACATCAATTTATGCATGACATATGATTAATTCATATGAATAGAGTTATTTTAACTGTCACACCATAGGAAGTGTTTTCCCTCCTATTGCCTAAACCAGCCTTTGTACCCTAGCTAGCCACGTCCTGATACCCACAACATAGCAGAAAAATTATCTCATTACAAAAACACCCTTTAAAACTACGTGTGTGAAAGTATTGTTATCCTTAAGTTCTTTTCTATGTTTATAAACAGTAATAAGTATGAAGAAATAATTGCTGCATATATAGAAGCACACAAAAAAAAAAAAAAGAAAAGAAAATGTAGGATTTTAATTTGAAAGCAAAGAATTAAACTGTAGTGGGATCTTTATCCTCATATAAACCAGTACTGTGTCTGTGTAGCCTGTCCTGTGCATCAGGCACTGATTCTGTGTGAATACATCATTTGTAATAGCAGAAATGTGCTTGTTTTCAAAACTGTTTACACCAAAACAAGTAACGAAAAAGAAGCCTAAGCTTCAGCTGCTCCTGCTAGGAGCCTTGCAGGATTCTATCTTGCAAGACTTTGTTAAACCGATTTTGACACTGATGTGTTGGTTTGTATTTGTTTCCCCCTAAGCAGCAGCTATGAGTACAGCGAAGTTGAATAAGAGTCGAGGTTCTGGCTACAGGGAGAGTGAAAGACAGTAAGTAAACACCACGGGATGACTTTTGACAGTGACTTCTTTCTTACCAGCTCATCCTTCCAACTACCTCTTTCTTCCAAACATTTTAGCCGCAAACTCCTAC